CTCCATTGTTAGCTCTCTTTATTGTCTGAATGCTGAGTCAAGCATTCACAAGCAAGTCATGGTTGGCAAAAAAAAAAAAAAAAGCTGTCTCTTATTATTTTGACTTGTTTCAAAACGTGCAATAGCATTGCCATTTATCAGCAGATTCGAACTCAAAGGAGTAAACTATGGAAATTTTTAATTGATATTCTTTTGTTTTACGGCTCGCTGTTTCTTCGGTCTGACATTCATACAGTGTGGCACGGCTCTTGGACTGTTTTTGATTTTTCTCACCGAGCGCTACCGCAATCTGCATGGAGCCGTTGCCGACTTGAAACTCAAGCCTGATCATCTAAACGGGGAGAGACAGTTTGCTAAACTTCCGGCAAGCTTGTCTTTCAGGTAGCCTACGGGTCTCATATCACCTGGAAGTAGAGCACTGTGCTTCGGTTAACAGCGTTAGTGTAAAGCAGGAGACGAAGAGAATTAGATAACAGATTTTCGAGGGGTTAAAAAAAAAAGGAGAGACCAGGGAGGCAAGCAAGGCATGCATGAGAGTGTGTAACTGAGTTTGGGGTGGATTATAGGCCTGCTTGGCTCAGGATGGATACGGGAAAGGCAAAGGGGACGGGGACTCGGTCGTGGGGGAGAGATGAGGCAAAGCATGCCACGTTAGATGGGTACGGTTAAGAGATCTGCAGGGGATCAATCGGGAGTAGGAGAGCGAGGGAAGGAGCTGCAGGGTAGTGAGGGACAATCCAAAGAGCTTAGTTAAGGAGCTTAGTCGAGGTAGGTTAGCTCTGCAGATGGGGCGCATCAAGACACAAGGCAAAAAGGGGCCCAGAGTCAAATCCATCGACTGCAACATTCATATTCCTTCCATCTTCACCCTCCCTTTCAGTGCTCCATCCCTCAGAATCTCTCCGCTTTGGTGTCTTTCATTCCCCTCATCTAGGCATTTTCCAGACAGACTCCATGCTTGTCCAATCTCACACCGTATTGCCCTCTGATGGGCTCAGGAGCGCGGTCAAAGTGCAAAGGCGCAGTTGACAGAAGATACTCAAACAGCACTTTGGGAAACAAGCGCCTCTTATCCCTCGCCCTTGATGTGTTTTGTTTTTTTCTTTTTTGTTTCTTACTTGAAATGATGGGTTTAAGAAGTAAACATGAAAACCCGCATGCTGTTTTGATGTTTACGAGAGGTGGTGGTGGTGGTGGTGGTGGTGGGCTGAGGGACATGTAAATTATGGATGTGAATTTGAACAAAAACTGGAGACACTGCAGTCAGCCCTCAAATTCCCCTTGATCAATGTCTGTTTGGAAGCAAATTCACTTCCTTTTATTCTACTGTGCTATATTTTCCATTCATCATCGCTGCGCTGCATCGTAAACGCGCACCCCTGACCGGTAGTTACATGGAATTGCATTAAATGGCTTGACATCTGTCCTCTTCTCGGATGCTCAGACCGCCTGGCAACAGACTACTTGCTTTCTAGCACAAAAAAAAAAAAAAAAAAACATGCTAAGAGGCAACAGACAGAAGTCTGTGCAAACCATTCTAGCGCTGTCGAATTAAATTGTGAAGGGAGACACATAATGAGATGGTAATGGAAGAACAGAAAGGTTTTTGCTCCTCAAGCAAATCTTGGAGTTGGTGCTAAAACGACTTTTGTGCAATATGGATCTATAACAATTCCATCAAGAAAGGGAGGAAAAAAAAAAACAGAAGCGACAAAAGGCTCTCGGGCCAAATTGGGAGGATGACTTGAAGGACGAATCTTCTCCACCTCCTCCCACCTCCGCCTCCTCCTCCTCCTCCTTCCGGACCGGCCTCACACAAGACAAAATAGTGAGCGAAGAGACGCTTGCTTCCAAGTGCTGCTCTGCTATGCTTCTAGCCACTAAAACCTAAGAGGCATTCTCTTGAAGGATGCTGTCACCTTCATGCCAACTCCAGAGGTCCTCCCTAATCCTTCTCTGCAGGCGGCACACTAAATTTGAGAAGGACCATTAAATTATTATTTTTAGAAGGGGCTTGCCCCTTGTCACCACTAAAACCCTGCCCACCCAAAATCCCGCTCAGGGTAGCAGTGGCGCCAGCTCGGTGCAAAAATGTTTGGTTTTTTTTTTTTCCACAGCTAGAGAGCGAGGACTCACATGGTATCCCTATGGAGCAGCATAGTGGGGAATAGAAAGTACAACAAAACATTATACAAACACACACACACACACACACACACACACACGCACCCAGTCACACACACTTGTGCATGCTGGCACCCATTCATCGAAACACACCAGCATCTGGACACTCATGTTATCCCAATACTGAAACCAAATGACATGCACTGCTTCATGGGAGGTGTCCGAGTGTTTTTGTGTGTGGGAGCAAACCAGTCACTGTTTTTGTTTGAGAATCTGGCCGTCTTTAGTAGTCATATATTGAAATCTCGTCCTGACCCGGGCACACAACGTTTACATGACAACGGCCTAGTAAAAACGAAATTCGGTTTTCATCAGAAACGGTTTTCATGTTGCCCAATCACACCGACTGGCACAAATGTTGTAATGTGCATGCCAGGCCAGTAGTTGGCGATGACGTTTTTGTAAAGACCCAAACACACCAACTGCTTGTCCTGCCAGACAAAACTGCAATATCGTTATAGTGTATTGCAGTATGAAAAATATCAGATTCTGACCATAGGGCAATTACAACTCTGATTTTATTATTTAGAAATTTTTGGAGGAATAGCAACTTTTTTTTTTCCATTGTATGCGCTCCATAGGTACATTGGTAAACGGTAAAAGAAAGTCATTTAATTTTTCGAAATGAAAACAAAACGTAGTAGAACAGTAAAAATACTTGAAAAACGAGGAACCACTTCTCTGCTCTTCTCTGCTTTGTCAAATGTCAAAGCGGAACATGAGCTGATGGTAGCCATGCTAGTTATAGCTCGCTAGCACATTTAATTATAGCATTTATTTCACCAGTTGAAGATGCGCTTGCTCTCATAGTTGGTTTCTAATGTTCATTTCAAGACAGTGTGAGTCATATGTTAGCGTTACCGTGAATTTGTCAAAGTGTGATGGCTGGCACCCTTGTAAATGTAATATTGTATTGAAAGCATTTGACTCTCTCCTCTACCAAGCTGGGTCAGACGAAAAATTTCCCAAAATAGCTCACTTTTTGGTTTGATCTTGTACTCTCCAACCTTTTCGAAACTGATACGGTTCCTGGTTCGTCATTGTTTTCCAAATTAAAGGATGATCCAAAAATAATGACTGTTATAGGCTGAAATCAAAATGATTTGGACCATTTCAAGGTGAACAATGGCTCTAAATTAGTGGTTCTTAACCTTCTTAGAGACAACGAACCCAACCAATTCAAATGCACATTCACCGAACCCTTCATTTTTGAAAAATAAATATATTTTTTTTTTTACAAATTCAAGATATAAAAAAAACGCATTTATTAAAAACAGAAAAAAGTGAATAAAATTTCAAGGGATAAGTATACTTTTTTTTTTTAATTGAACGACATACTATCACGACAGTCAACACGTTGACTACGAAGCGAACTAAAATTCCCACAGCACTGATTGGCCAAGCAATGTCATGTGATCATCTGCAGCCAGTGAGGGCCAAGCGGGCGTGTGATAACTAATTGACATGTTGAGTCGGGTGTGTCTTACCCTCCGTCGAAACCCTGAGACCGATTCACCGAACCCCTAGGGTTTGATCGAACCCAGGTTAAGAACCACTGCTCTAAATGGTTACTCGATTTAATTTTGGCACCTCTACTCCACTTTGAGACCAGTTTTCAAATGGTTGCGTTTTCAGACTCCTGAACACCGTTGTCATGTAAACAAATAGCCAAAGAACACCGTTTGGACCTATTTCCTGATTATAATCGGGCTCTTGTGGGAACCGCCCCTTTGTTTTATTCGGCCGCGCCTTGGACTGCTCAGGGTTTTTCTTTGACAATACCCCATCTCAAACTTGAGCTGAACTGCGGCGTCAGTAACCTCCTCGCTCTCAGAGGAGCTCAAACATATCGCGATCTTTCCATTGCGAGGTTCCCAATTGAGATTTTAAACCCACTGTCAAGCATTCACAGGTTTTGAGGATCTAGGGTTCGGCGTGCGCGGGGGAGGTGGTTAGTGAGCGGTGTGAACGCAGTGTGATAGTTAAAAGGAGAGGCAGGGGAAGGGGCGCGGGGGGGAGGCGGAAGCAGGCAAGGTGGGCTGCGGGAGTTCACCAAGCATCAATAACTGGGGCATGGCTGAAGAAAGTGATCGCAAGCCTTGGTCTTAAGTGATCCTGAACTTTTTCAGTGCGGCGCAGTATCGCACAGTTCTGACAAGACCTGCTGCGATGGAGCTCTCAACCCCTCCTACCCTACCGACTCCCCTTCCCTCCAACTCTGCAAAGATGACTTCAAAACATCAAAGCTGGCATTAACGGCTCATTTTCCCCGACGTAAATGCCAAACGAGGAAGGAAAGAAAAGCTTTTCCTTCCTCCCTGCCTTTTTCGTTTCAGGAACGTAGCTGCCCTCCCCCCCACACCCCTTGAGACAGTTGTGCAGTTTGGGGCAGAAAACGTGTTAAGGGGATCTAAGGAGGGGCTGCTCTGCATTACCAAAACAAATCAGTCAGCAAACAAACAATTAGACACTCATGAATTATGGACAAGCTATATAGCGAGAAACACAAGGCGTGGGGACTTGTGCGGCGATTGCTCAGCTCGTGAATCACGTGTGTGTGCGTTGTGTGTCGATGTTTTCAAACAGGCAGTGTTGTGAGCGAACTGCTTGCGCCTGCGCCTTCCTATCCACACGCTAAACGTAACAATCCCGCACTTTCCGTGGATCCAAGTGCAAATTAGTGACGGAAAAAAAACGAAACGCCGAAAGGTGCAGGATACTGCAGGGCTAGTGAAGGAAGGAAGGTGTTTGGTCATCCACAACGTGTTTCAACTTGACCCCCCGGCATGATCCGATCATCATAAGCATGTGTTTACCTCTCGCAGACGCGCACGGTCCATGCAGCAATGATCCAGGACGATATACTGAACACCAGCAGAACAGTTCCCGGGCAGATGGTCATGAGCGTTTTCATGACAAAGCGTGTGTTGAAGTTGATCTTGTTGAGGGCGCCGATACTGCGAGACGACGCGTCGGTGAACAGCTTGCTGTGAAGTAGCATGACCCTGCCAATCAGGTAGAGTCTCAGGAACATGGGGATGGAGAGGATGATGTCCACGTCGGCATCCGCCACGGATGGCGTGTACGTAAAAGCCAGCCGGGCCTTCCAGGTGAAGACGTACTGGCCGGGGATGGGATGGATGGCACACACCAGCAACTCCAGCACGATGAAGAAGATCCGCTCGTAGGTCATGGCTATCCTCCAGTCATCTGCACCGTTGTCGACCATAAACAGCTGAGAACAATCAGAGCACAAGACCGGCTTGAGGCTTTGCGGCAAGAATACTGCGTGGCTGAGGAGAAGTTGTTAACAATGGTCACCAAAATTCACGTGCGAGTCTCTACTCATGCCCTCATAAATCTCAGAAAATATCAAAACGACACTGCCTCGATATTTTGGAGTTTATGGAGCGTTTTTCTCATTCGGCGAAGTTCACCACAAGAGCGTAAGCTTTACGCCAGCTTTCCAAAGACGTCAACTGCTTTCCTCGCCGCCTGTGAGGCTAGTAGCACTTGTGGTAGTGAATTAGACGTTGTTTATCAATGAAGCTCATTTGCATAAAGGCGGGCAATTTCTTCCGCCAAATCTATGCGTTTTACCTCATTTCAATATGTCCAAAGAACACCGGAGAACTGAGACGCACTCTGCTTGGCAGCGCACTTAGTGAAGCATTTCACCCTCTGTACATGCTTTGTCAATCTGATGCTGTTTGCTCCATTTTTAGCGATTAGCGACAAAAAAAAAAAAAAAATCTAAATTTGCCATTTGTTTAGGACTCAAACTAGGGACCCTGTCAAAAATCACATCCTAAATCAGGTCCGTCCAAATCCCATCCTCGAGGGTTGCTTTCCCGCATGTTTTAGACGTTTCCCTCCTCGAAGACACTCGATTCAAATGATAAGGATTCTTCTCAGGCTTCGGCAGAAGTTGTTGATGAGCTGAGGGAAACATCTAAAACATGCAGGATAGCGGCCCTCGAGGTCCGGATTTGGACACCCCGCTTCTAAATCATTCTCCCGTGGCTGCGTACCTGTTTGGGGAAATTCCAGTGAGCACAACGTCAAACAATATCGCCATATGATCATCGTACGTATGTCATCACAAGGAAATGCGGTGTTTTTAATCATCATAATTCGGACTCACCTGGATTTCCCGTGCATGGTACATTATTATAAGACCAAGCAGTATAACAGTGGAAAGGCTGATAAGGCATTTCAGTGCAAATGAATATGAAGATTCCTACAATGAGAGAAAGAGAAACAACACAATTACTCATAGACACGGCGCACCAAATGAATAAAACGCTGCCGTACGACCTTTCGTTGTACTCCACACTCAGTGTCATGCATCACCTTGCAAAAGATAATCTGAGGCTTCGAAATAGATCTCTAGTTATTCTGTTGCATGTTGCTGCTTGGCGACAGAGCCACGCGTGGCGGTTGACCAAATGACAAATTCAAAAGCCGAGCATATTTCGTGTTGAATCTCGGTCCCCTATAGATTAAAAAAAAAAAAAAAAAAAGTGGGAAATGGAGATAAATGGCTCCATTACTGGATTAAGACAAGGGGAATAAATGTCCTTATAGAACACACGGAGTGGACAATACACAGCTACAAGCCTACACGCATGCACTACACACACTGCTGATTAGCTTAAAAGTCTAAGTGACGCCAAATAATGGGGCTTTACACACAAACGCCGCGGACAGGTTGTCGCCAAACAATGAAGCTGCAGGTGGAGGGGCAGCCGATATTATGCATGGGCGCCGTTCGCCACCATCTGAACTAGCAATTAATCAAAGCACAGCACTAACTGTGGGGGGCTTTCCATTTAATGGCAGGTGCAGAAAAGGCAAGGCTAGCATTAGCAAAGCCCCACCACGGAGAGCGTCACTGGTGATAAATAGACCAGCTGGATGCCAGAGCTGCAGTGTTTGTGTGTTGTGCGTGCGTGCGTGTGTGTGTGTGTGTGTGTGTGTGTGTGTGTGTGTGTGTGTGTGTGTGTGTGTGTGGGCACATTAGGGCCATAGATCTAGCAAATTAGAGAGTGCAGTCCACACCATTTGATAAATCTCTAACCAGCTGCCCAGCTACGACGGGACAGTGATCGCGCGGTTGTTATTACGATGAGGACACGGACAGACAAGGAATGACAAAAACAACAAGTGGAAAAATGTCGTTCGGAATTGTTCAGAGCAAACGACGGCGAGCGTGTGCCGCTCATTATCCCCGCTCTGTCCTTCTGTGGTCTTGATTACAAAATGTATTTCTAGCGATCAACTATATTGCTTTGCCCTTCAGGTCGCCAACACGTTCTCAAGACGTTCAAACGTCTCAAATTGTTTTAAGAAGTCCCTGGTGGAATAACATTGAGTAAACCAATTAATCCACCTGCCAGAGGTTCAAGGAGTTTTAGTTCCCAGTGCTCGCTACCTCTTAAAGTCTTTCTCCCTGTCAGGTTTTGAGCAAACCTTGTCTGGGCCTTAAAGCGTTTCCTGATGTGATGTCGGATGGAAAATAGACCGTCCGCAACACATGCTACAGTAACTGCCTGGTATGGGATTGGTGCGGGATGTTTGATTTGCAACGAAAAATTTTCACATTGCACTTTTACATGTGAAAAAAAAAAGTCAATAAATAAACAATTGACTCACTGACGTAACTCAATCTGCTTCACATACTGTAATTAAAAGTACATTTCAGAGCAGTTGCAAACAGAGTTGAAGAGATTTCAAAGAAAAGAAATTAAAAACCAGCTTCGTGAATGAGCGTCCAATGCAAGAAGATTTTTCGGAAAACATTTACACTTCAGTGGTATTTTTTTTCATCTTTATTCATTTTATGTTATCCACTCTGATGATAAAGGATATCAGCCAATCGAGGGAGCGCATCATAGAGGGGGAAAAGAAAAACAGCTTTTTTTTTTTTAAGGGTGATTTTGGGGAGGCGTGTTATTCACGGAATTTTATTATACGGTAATTTAAATCGCACTCCTGATTAGCATAATGATGCTCATACACATTGCCATATTTAATCAGTCTAATTGAGACAACAGTATTTATTACTGTCTACCATTCTGTGACTGGTCCAAACCAAGGATATTTTGAACAGAGAAGAAGTAAAGTTATCATATTTATTAGGTTACATTTGTGCATCCGTTTATATCCGAAGTTAGCAGAGAAACCTTTTTTAAATCTGTACACATCTGAACTACAGCTTTTACGCACTCTTTGACTGCCTATTTCTCATATGTCCATATTTTTTTTTGTTTGTTTGCTTGTTTCAGCCGCAAATCACCTGAAATCATGGCAGACGTGTAAATTAACCTTTTCGGGGACAGCGGTTAGCACGGGGGAAAGTTTATCATGTTATCGGGTTACAGGGTGCATGTAAGGGTTAACTCTAAATTTGTCATAAACTGCTACGGGAAAGCATGACATGTCATGAGAGACAATTAGCGCTGGATTCTCTGCATGTTCTCTGCAGACTTGACGGCAATACATTTTGCGATGGAGAATGTTTATGCCGCAAAACTCCTGATAGTTGATGAGATGAAAGATGACAATTCCAAATGAAATGTTGCGTAATGTTGTCCAATCCTTGGGCAGGGTCGTCCGCCGTCTTTAGAAAATGATGGAAACCCGTTGTCACCGTTGCGAAAATGGGCATGTATGGGTAGAATAGACCCAACTTTTTTTCTTGTATGCCATGAATGAATTTATTTTGGGGATAACCTGGATTAGGGTTACTCTGACACTAATACTACCCTTGACTTGGCTTTACCCATCTGAAGTGTCAAGCATATACTGTAGTTTATCAATGTTGGCCATTCTCTTGAGCTCACTGCTTATTGCTTATTGTGTTTTCCCTCTTCTTCCCATCCATTCCCCAGCCCTGAGAGAATGTTGGCTTGAGAACAAAGCATCAATGGCACATGTACTAAAACAAATTATGGAGAGTAGCTAAAAGGCCTTAAGAGCAATCCAAATTTTGAAAACTGTTTTTATTCGTCCCAGTGCATTTAATTTGCTTGTGCGGCTTTTGTGATCATCTTCATCAATGGGAATATGCCGATGTTCCTATGTTCTTGTCAGCATAGCAACTCGCAATGTAACTGTCAAGAAGAGCCATGACAACTTATGATGCTCTGATTCGTGCGTCGCACGTGCCCAACATACCTTAGTGTAAACCCCCCATGATAGTTCCGTCTCCGTCACCATGACGACGATCCCAAACATTCCAAAGATGAGCGCGTAGTCGCTCAGCCGCTTCCGCTTCTCAAACAGTGCCCTCCGGTGGCCGAGCTTGTAACCGATGTCCCGGTTTTTCTTTTGGGGCGCCCTGCCTCTGCTGCGCCCGCTGCCCTCCCTGACCAAGCTCTCGTTAGACGCCTTGCTGGGGTCTTCGCCGCCATTCCCCTTGGACACCACCACCTCCAGGCCAGAGCTGTGCAGCGTCTGCAGGGGCTGCGTTTCCGAGTCAAGCTCCGCAAGGTTGCGGCGCGACGAGGACGCCAGACTGCCCACGAGTGGTCTCACCACGCCGCCATTGTACTTGCAGGTGTTCATGGCTATCTGAGGGAGTCGGCCGCTGCTCTCGGAGAGGGAGGGCTTGGATCCAGCATGGCTCAGCTTCTTCTTCTCAGTTGTGGCCTGGAAAGAGGACCAAGAGGTAAATCTGACTGTCTATTTGAAGCGAGAGACGAATTTAAACTTGACATAGAAAGAATTGATCGACAAAATCCGAGGACATTAAACTGCGTCTTTATGGGCCACATACTGTATGTGATAAAAGAAGAATTTGTCCTCAGAAGGTGGAGTCACTCAAGTACTGTAGCAAAACCCCTGCATATTTGTGGTTTGGAATGCACAGGTTCAACTATTTTCAGATTTCTTTTCGAACGTATTCTCCAATGCTGAAAAAGTACCAGTTTGGCACCATCTTCTGGGATCTCACTGCCAATGAACTATGTTGAAGTGACTCTTAGGAGTTTCGTGTCCAAAAAAGTAGTGCTTTGTTGTCATCTTGTGATATCTGGTGCATCATTTTCTTGTGGATTTTTGCTATTTGCTGGAGGGTTTGACTCCTTTCTTTAGGACAAAATGAATGTATTAAATTTATTGCATTTTATTTCGTCAAGTGGTTGCACAAAATCAAATCACCTAGATCTAGACACATTTTTCAAGTAGACTATACATCAATGTATCTGGAGTCAGATGATTTCATTTGGTGCAACCATTTGACAAAATAAAATTGAGTAAATTCAACCAAAAACCTTTTTTGGGTTGAATTTTGTTCCCTGCGCGTGCCCTGTGGGTTCATAGAAAAAAATGCAGACTGTATATCATGCAGGGCAGGCATAATAAAACCATAAAATTATGAATAAAACAATGTTTCGTTCATTGATTTTTGAACATATTGGTCTAAAATAGCTTTTGAGGGGGCGGACTTGAGCTAGTCCATGATGCATATTGAAATAAGTTTGAACATACTTGCAAGCATGTATGCAAGCAGAATATTTTCACGCCATATTGGCAGCTCCATGCTTCCGTAACATTTCGACATGTAAGCTGTTGTTGAAAGTGTGCTAGCTGTGAAACAACAACAGTCCGGCTTGCGTGCTGCAAGCAAAACTGCATCAAAGTTGTTCTAAAAGAAATCAATAATGAATTGTACCTTAATGTATAAATAAAACCACTGTATATAAGCAATAATGGAGACCAAAGTGCAGAAAATTGAATCTTTGCGCTGCACAAATTTAGATATGAAAGATTGATGCTCCGCATGACCCTGTTTCCTGTCTTTCCCTGCTGAGCGGAGCAGCGGGCTCACCCATCTCGAGGAAGGGACCTTCTCGAATCAGGCATGATGCAGAGACTCAGTGGGGGATTCCGCCAATTTCTTTGAAAACATATACAAAATAAATCAGAGGATATCTGAGCTTCCTACGTAAATAACATCTGATTTGGGAATATTTGTTCATTTGGCACTGTAAACCCCAGTAAAAAAAAAAAAACATGATTTCCCCAATACAGATAACAAAATTCAGATTAAGTGTCATGTTTCATGTTTGGGAAAGTATCTCCTCCAGTTCCGTAGACGAAAAACAAATGTCTCCGTACAAAGGTCAGGGCGGCATCTATCCGCCTGTCTATTCTGCAGAGACGAAGGCAGATTATCTAAATGGGTTAGGAAAACCTCACTTGGCGCAGTGGCTTTTCTGAAACAAATTGGTGTGTGCGATGGCACCACTGGCCCACTTTATTAGTCCCGACAGAGCATCCCTTAATGCTTTTTAAGTGCGCTGGTGGGAATAAAGATGGGAGACCCTAATGGCAATGTACTAACTCCAATTCTGTGATGCTATCGTCCTGTGCATATTGGGGGAGGGGTGCGTGGGGGTGGGGGGCTCTATGAGAACAGGGTGTAAGGTTAAGGATTAGCGTGGGCCATAGTGTTTCTAATCCCCTTTTCCGTATTAAATTGCCTTTTAATCTGTGCCATTAGGACCCTTGTACACAGTCAAGACTGTGCAGTAAGCGAACTCTGGGTTTTAAGAAGGGGAAATAGAGCAATAGATGTGGTGAATGGCAATGGTAATATAGTTTATATTTTTATTTTTGGCAGGGCGGGGGAAGCCCTGTGATTGATTGGTAACCAGTCAAGGGTGTACCACGCACACCTCTTGCCCAAAGTCAGTTATGATACGATGTCGCCTGCTTCCCTAAAGAGGGAGAAGCATGATAGAGAATGGGTAGAATTTTCTGGCAAATTTAGCTATCATCAGTCTCAGGCTTTTCACCAAGCTAAATATTTGCTTAACGTCGCTATACAGTGGAAAAAAAAAAGTCCTCTCAATTAGAAACACCACAAAGAAGCGTGTTAACAAAAGTGACAAATTTGAATGATGAAAAAAAATGGAATTTGAATCTCGTTTTTTTTTTTTAAATGCAGAGAACACAAACATCATAACTAAAGTTTTTTTTTTTTTTAATGCAGAGAACGCAAACATCATAACTAAAGCTTGGCCTGCTTGACAAATAGGAGTATTGATTGGGAAAATTAAACTGCTTTACCATTTCATTGGGAAAAGCCCCCCCGTAAATCACTTTTGGCATAAATATTTAAAATGTCTTTGTGAGTGCTTCAAGTGATTCCTTGATGTACATTAGCTCAGCCCGTCAGTCTTATGAATGTGCAAGTATCACTTTCTCCTCTTCTGTTGTACGCCTCCCAAGACTTGTTTTGCTCAGGGGTAGGGTGTGAATATGTCTGTCAGTGCACCTGAAGTATTTTTAACCACAGTCAAACTTTCTCTTATCTCGCGCTAGATATGCAAATGTGGCTAATATTGTTTCCAATTTTGACAGCTTTGAAGCAGACAGAACTGCTTTTGACCGAAGACCGTTCGAACCATCAGAGAAATTTAGACAGAGTGAAACACCGCGAACATTTTTGCAGTATTGTTGTTGCGTTCTAGTTAAGATGCGGTCCCCGAAGACTTCACAGGACCACATTTGACATAAACGCACTCCGATTTCTAAGAAAGTTATTTTTTTTACTTTACCCAGACGAGACTCTTTCATTACCGGTTTAGAATATCAACTGGATTGCATCACCATCTCTTGCATCGGGTATCAATTGCATTTTGTGGACTTTTTCATGCATTCGTTGAAACGGCGCAATCGCATCAAGACCGCTTTTCAATCCAATGCAGACTTGCGCTGCTCCCTCGTACAACTCGGTGTAAAACGAGCTCTGTGGCGCTCACTTGAAAGGGAATGTAAATATGAACAAGGCAGCTTCAAGCCAAACGGCCCACACAGAAATCAATGTTCCTTATCAGTGTTTCGTGTAGATTGCGGATCGACGTTTGCCGATTGAGCATGTAAAATAGATTGCCGCCAGTGTGTTAGATCCCGGACTTATGCTACAAACTCCCATTCCGAGGTCAAAACATCTAAAGCGGGTTATACGCATACCGAATATTTTTCGGTCAAATTTGAGCATTTTCACTTCCATGCAATCAAAGGCAGCAAAGGCCGATTGTCTGATGTCTCTGAAAGATTATGCTGAGCAATTATCCTGTGGTCTGGGCTACGTTTGGTGATTTTTCTTCCTCCCTGATGTGCGAGGAAAACATTTGGGGCCGAGGAGCGTAAATGATAAACCCGTTGGTCATTTCCGTTCACAAATGCTTTGAGTTGGGCCAAGCCATGGATCGCCGCGTCAAATGGAACAATAGCCAGTTAGGAAGTGACCTGAAGCTGACTCTGTTGCCTCTCTAAGGTAAATGGAGGAAAAACTGATTGTGTTAAGTATTCGTATTCGAATTGAGCACTTTTTTTTTTTTCTTGAGATGCTTAAAGGAGTGCAAAACATTGGATTGTTGTTGACGGCGTGTGGGCAAAGGGTGAACGATGCGGCATTTTGAGATGCAAATTGCTCACTCCTTTTATAATGTCAATTGTTAGTTGCCATTATTGGCCATGCAGTAAGAGGAAAAACCTTTTTCCGAGCACAAGAAACAAGATTGTAGCCCTAATGTGGTTTCCCAATGACCGTTTGCATGACAACGCATCGGCGTGATACGACCATGTTGTGACAGGCGTGGGCCAAAATGGGAGGCGGCCATGTAAAAAGAGAATGATCCAGAAAGGGAAAGAGAAAATGAACAGGGCCTTGAAACAGCTTGAAACATTTTTGAGATTCATACACGATGCCAAACTGCTGCTTGTTGCAAAGTAAGCCGAGTTGAGCTCACTGCCGCCATATACCGTCTTGCAACGGCTCGTGTCTTAAGGTCCCAGCGTACCGACAGTCGGTATAAACGAGCAAGAGTCCTCCGCAGACATTGCTCCACAAGCCCTCCGATCACATTCCAAACCGCTGAACCGCTTCGCTCACTCTTTCACATTCCCCCTGCAAGCTGACTAAATGGGCAGCAGAAGGGCACCGCGGGGCAAGCGTCGCCTCCGTCGCTGCCACAGCGGAGACAGACGAAGGTTGCCTGCCCGGCCGACCGATGGCTCAATTTCATTCTGAATGGCACGCGGCATCCGAGCCTCTATGAAATGGAGCCTCATAATCAAATTGAAAAGGCTCTGTGCAGAACGGTTTAAAAACGAAGGCAACTCTCCGCCTCGCTCTTCTCTCTCAGCCTCTCTCCTGCCGGCTCAAATCGAATAGAAAAAAAAAAATCCTCGTTGTTTAGTGATTTATGGGGTTAGTGTGCTGTGATTTTCGAGGCTTACGCATCCAAAATGGCATTTGTATGTGGCTGGGTGCTTGTGCACATACCAGCGGTGGGCGGTCAGGGCCAGCAAGCCTAAATTCTATGCGAAACCCAATCAGATTTCAGCCACCGCGTGCTGTCATGTCAACTTTATCTGGCCACGGTATTAAAAATCAGTATGCTAGTCCATGTAAGACCCTATAAAGCAAAAAGACACGTCTTGTAAATGTGACATGCCGCAGACAAGAGTCTGGTTAACAACCCCGCCAAATTTGAATTATTTAAGCAATCGCCAAGTATGCAAAGTGAGGCTTCCCAATCGTGAAAAATGTAGCAATTCTCTTCGCTCTCAAACTGCTGAATGTGCTGAAAGCACGCTCGCCTCACTGTTAACGGCTATTCTGCGGTTAACATTTTGAGGGTTCACTGCCTCTCC